AATCTAATTGATATGGTAGTCAATGCTCTCCTCTGTAAAGAGTTGTAAATTCCTGTGAGACTTCTCTGTCCTCTCCTAAGGGGGACAAAGGTCTTCCTCATTCCTTAGCAGATCAAGGAATTTCTCATTTCCTGATCCTCACCCATGACCTTTACTTTGTGGGCTGTGATAGGTACTAGAGGGGCATCAAGTGTGGAGGAAGGACGCACACAGCTTTTGCAATCTCCAACTGCACTGTGTCGCTGGGCCCAGGGTAAAATAAATCAATGCTGCTTTTTAAAATATGTTTTTGCCTCATTTTTTAAACTCGAGTTTGGGGGCTCGTTTGTGGATTACAAGAACTTCCTAAATCGTGCCTATTGCCCAGGATCAATTAAATCAGGATCTCTAGAGCAATAATATAAAACTCTCTAGAAAGAGCTCCAAAGAGGCATAAAGAATAGATGGCGGGAGGAGGGCTTTCAGCCAACAGGATTATCTGGCAGTGCTCAGTCTAATAGGTACTCATATCACCTGATGTAGCAATTCTCTTCCCATAATAATGTAGAGTCACTCAGTAGCTCTGGCCTGCTGGTGCACAGGCAGCCACTCTGGGGAGCGGAGGTCCAGAGCTGCTCTATTCCATTTGGTGGCCACAAGCTGTATATGGCTGTGGGTAGTGTAGGAGGTCATTGTTTTAGAGCAGGCTCCACCACTGAGATCCAGTAGACCAGACAAAAAGTCAACACAGAGCCACCTATGCCAAAGTTCCATGTCACCATGATCACACAGTTCTCTCTGTGTTATTCTTTATACAGAATAATCTCATATTAACCAGAAGGTTGTTTTCCTATTGTTCTGACTCTACTCTGCCTTATAAGAAGTCATTTTGAAATAATCAACCTGCTTATTTTTCTTTGTGACGTCTTTAAAAAGAATAATCATGGCTACCACTTATGAGTCTGTGTTATTATGAGATATCACAATCCTGAACACTTTATATGAATTACCATTTTGGTGCTGATGACACCTCATGAGCTAAGAACTGCTATTAGGCCTATTTTATACATGGAGATTTGAGGCTAGGACTTCTGAGCAATTGCCTGCAGCAGCAGGTGAGAGGGTTCAGGCTTGAGCTTTGGAAGGCTGTGCCCTCTACCCTTACCTATGACCCCACCGTGGAGCAAAAAACCGTGGGGCCAAGAAGACCCACCAGCCTGGAGCCCAGGCCCTCACCCTCTTCTAGAACATCCCTAGTTTACCAGAACCCCAGAATTCCCTGCCCACATGGCCCAGTGCTGACTCTCAAGGTCTATCTGTGATTACTCTCCCAGGGGTACACTATCCCTCTGAGTGGTGGTGGCTGAGGGTAGCCTTTGCCTGAGGTGTGGCTGGAGCTGGAATATAAAATCATCTTCAGTGTGAGAAGGAGCCTGGGGCAGAAAGCCAGGTGGGGCAGGCAGAATGCTGGGGCTTCCACTAGTGAGAGGGGCAGTCCTAGCACCAGGAACCGATGCCAAGGCTGACAGAGCTGGTGGTGGCCTGTTCCATGACTTTGCAGGTCACCAGGGGCTCGGAGACTCAGTCTGACCCTAGGGAAAAGCATTGCTGCTGCAGTGACAGAGGCCTATAAGCCACTGTGGACAGTAAGGACAGCAGTTTCCATCCCTGACTCAGACCAACCGCTTTATGTTCAGATCAAATGGACTCACGGAAAATGGTTCCTTTATGTCCACTGGAGGGCAAAAAATGCAAGCCTCGCTGCAGAAGTAAATCAGTGCTGGGACTTAAGTCAGTACTTCAGCACCTACTCCCCAGCTTTCGGAAAGAGTTACCAAAGGACAAAGTTACAGTTTAGTTTTTGAATCTTCATTGGCATTATTTTCAGTTCTAGAACAGGACAACACCCCATTCCAGGAAACAGAGTCATCCTCGTACAGGCAGTTGGTTTTATAGACGAAGAAGGGATTGAAGAATCGACAAGAAAAAAGCAGATTGGTCATTTCAAAATTACTTTCCTCATAAGGCAGAAGCAGGGACACAGAACGATAGGAAAACAATGGGAAGTCCACAAGTTATTTCAGATTGCTTTTGTGTAAGGATTAAGGCAGAGGCAACTTCATCATCATGCCAGTTGAACTGGGAAATTTGGCTCTTCTCTGTCTCTCTAATCTTGATTTCTCTGAAGGTCAGATAAACAGTTTAGTTTCAGCTTGGTGACAGGCACTTGAGGTTAAGTAACTCCATTTTGATTTTTAGCCTGTTTGGATCCAGTGTGGGAGCTTAGTCCAATAAAATCCTATAATGTTTAACAGAGTCCATTATTTAGCTAGAGAAAGATGCAAAAAGGAAGAACAATCCTTTTGAGTTTGGCTCTGTGGAAAATACAGATGGTGATAATTTTATAGGTCCCAGAGCCTTGTTTATTGAGTGCCTTAGGGCATTCACAAGTCTTAGAAACGAAGATTTTGAAAATAGAACACTGCTGGACCTCTCACCTTGCTGGGCCACAGACAGGGGTAGGTCTTTAAGAGCTGGAGTCCTGTAATATAACTCTGGCAGTGAAGTACCATTTGTGTTTCCTGGCATTCCCTGGACAGACCTTCCTGGCTGTTAGATCAACCTCCATAGGGGCCATTATAGATTAGCAACATTTAAATATCCAGTATCTAAAAGCCTGTCCTCAGTTTCCTGTCTTACCAGTACATGCTTCCTTCTTCTGGCATTATCTTTAGAATTGCTTATAAAATAAGCTCTTTGTGTTCCTTGTAACTGCATATGAAATAAATCCTTTCCTCCCCACCACTGGGGAGAGAGAGAGAAGAGGGAGAGTCTCTCAGCAGCCTTGAAGGTCAGTGCAGGGCACAGACCGTCCTTACCTCTGCTGAGATCTGAAGGAGAGATAGCGAATCTACCTGGCAGAACAAGAGACTGAAGATACACAGTGAAAGGAGGTCCAGTTGGTGAGGGCTTTGAACTCTGGGCTACCTGGGTAGGATCCAGTCTCCTTGCCCGGAGGTCTTCAGAGGCAGCCCAAGACCCAGGGAAGGTCTACATGCAGACTGGCCACACAGAGAGGGACAGATTACTTTTGCATCTTAGCAGAGAGGGCAAGAGAAGTGGCCACCTTCCCTTCTCTATTTCCTTGAGCAACTAAAATAAAACAAGGCACCTGTGAGGACTACGCGGAGTTGAATATTTCCAAAACACTTTCGTTCTGTTTCTACTGATCCTGACCATGGACACTGCACACAGTAGATGGAAGGTGGAGACACACACACATGAGGCATGTGCACATTGTCACAGCCTCTGGCAGAGGGGACCGGGATGGGGTGAGCTGCACACCCCTGCTTAGCTGGTTCTCATCAGACCCGGGTCTCCAGAAGTTGCCAAAGAAATTGCCCTTTTGAACTGATGGATGGGGCTCCAGATCTGGTGACATATTAGGTGTGGAAGGGATTATAATACAGTTTAATATTTTCTATGTGTTTAAATATTAAAATAGACTGCTTGTATTATTGTTTATGAACATTTATTAGGAGAATGGGGCAGGGTGGCTTAACTTCTAACCAGCTTTATTAACATTGATGCAAGCTGCAGATGCAGCTGATAGAGAGGGAGGGAGGCAGGGAAAGAGGAAGAGAGAGGGGGAGGGAGAGTCAGAGAGACAGAGACTTTCCTTTGCCTAATTGCATGATCTACTTAACGATGAGGCAATGTCTCTGGGGCTTGACTCCAAACCAGCAAACTCAGAGGAGCATACTGCTGGGAAATGCCGAGCCTGCTTGAGGCAGGGACCAGATGATCTGATTACAGCTTCATCATCCTGAGCCCTGCATGACTCCTTCCATTAATAAGTGTAAAGTAAAACAGCATTTTAACAAATCAAAAATATCTTGAATATCTCTCCTACAAATACCAAATTAAAGAGTAACCAAGTTTGTATATGGAGGGATGTCTTCAGGGCTGAGGGATGTGTTTCAGTGGTAGAGTTCTCGCTCTGCATTAGCTGGTTCAGTCCCCAGTCTCTCTCTCTCTCTCTCTCTCTCTCTCTCTCTCTCTCTCTCTCTCTCTCTCTCAAGTACGCGATTTTAGAAGGGTTTCTGAGTGGGTGAGGAGTGTCAGGGTGTGGATGTCAGGTGGTGATAAATTATAGCCCTTCCTAATACTCATTTTAGGGTGCAAATTTGTTGTTAAAAAAAAAAAAAAAAACACCAGGTGTAGGGCTTGGGTTGCAGCTCAGTGCTAAATGGCCTAGCATGAGTGAGGTCTTGGCTTCCATTCCCAGCACTGTAAATAAATAAATAAATAAACAAACAAACAAAGTTAGCCCAGTGATGTGAAAAATAAATGTTTGCTATTTCTTAGTACTTATAAAATAAGGATAGTAGGCCTTGAAAAGAAGGGATAATATTTTTCGACTTGTAAGTTGTTGGTGATATATGTAGTACACACCAGGCGTAATCACAGTTTATGCCTATGTGTGAATACATTGTACAAATTAGAAACATATGTACGAGGCTTCGAATCTACCACTCAGCAGAACAGGATTTCAGCGATCTTTCATTTCCAACTGAGTTAGTAGCACCTTTAATTTTACTCCTTTGTAACAGACAGTCTGTTGCTTCTGGCTATGGCACCAAACAGTTGTGGAAGTGTGTGTGTGTGTGTGTGTGTGTGTGTGTGTGTGCGCGCGTGCATGTGCGTGTATGTGTATGTGTTTATGTGAGAAAAGAAGGAAAGGTTTTAGCAGAGCAAAGAGCAGCTTGCCTCTCAGCTGCAAAGAACAAAGGAAGAAATGGAAATGGAGGGAGGGGATCCATTGCTCCCAAACCCCGCACTGCTGAAAACCTTCCTGAAAGGAGCCAGCACAGCCCTTCTGCAGGAAGACCGAGCCGTGCATCCACTCTGATCCAGTATCCCCGCCAGGAATTTACAGACGTCCTTGTACAAGCGTGCCAAGACAAAGTGTTGGGACACACACTAGTGAAACATTGAAGAACTGAACACTACAGCATGCCTGGGAAGACAAAGACATTATTTATTATCTGTTAAAGAGGTCAGCTTGCATCCCACAGTGCAATAGTGAACAGCCATTCAGATGGTGATGTTGATCCATATTTCTTGCCTGGAGAGATATAAATAGAAAATCCAATAAAGTTATTGTCTTTCGGGATCTAATAATCGGATGTCAGAGAATGAGGATGAGAAGACCAAGTGGGAGGATAAGGCTGGAGAAGGGGAGATGCCCTTACCAGTTCTGTGGAACAAGCCCCGCGGGCTGGACTCGACTGTGTCCTGCCAGTGCAGCGTGCACGGGGTTCACCCCGCTGAGCTGCGCGCATCCTGCGGGAGGGAGCAGCTCCTCCCGGGAGCAGCCCTGCGGAGGGCTGCGACTGCCAAGCTTGGCCCAGCTGCCTGTCCTTTGTTGGACTCCTGCCCGTCTGCAGTCCTCTGGGGAGGGAAGTAGTCTGAAAAATGACTCATGCGGAGGTGTAGGTGATTCACAGTGTTACGGGAGTGCTGTCAAAGACTTTTTTTTATTAAAAAGCGATAGCTCAAGGAAAGCAGTTGGCCTGTTGCAAGGAAACGAAATTTGTCTAACCGTTGAAAGTTGACTTAGATTTGTATACTCAGACTCTTAGGATGGTACCAAAATTTTAACCTGGCAATCATACCTTTAAAATTTTATTTCTGGATTCACATTTTGGTGGCAGGTTAGGCACAAGTCCTGAAATTACCATCACAGTAATAAGAAGCTGTGTAGTTCAGGCAAGTTTTATTATAAAAGTAGTGGAAAGAAAACAAAATGAGTGGCTTAAAAAATTAAAAATCTATTTCTTTCTAGTTTTCAGGGAATCCAGCGACAGATAGCCCAGGGCAGACATGGAACTCCACACTGCCAGACTGTTAACTTTCTACTGCTGTGACAAAATACTCCAGGGAATCAATTTAAAAGAAGAAAGGGTTTATTCTAGCTCATATTCAAGAGGTTTGGTTCATGGTTGATTGGCCCTGTTGAAGCACAATATATCACAATGGAAAGACTGTCAGAAAGGCCTGTTCACTTCATGGCAAACAGGAAGCAGACAGAAAAAGGGAGGGAGAGAGAGAGACAGAGACAGAGAGAGAGAGAGACAGAGAGTACCAGGGTCTCACTATTCCCTTCAAAGACATACCTCCAGGGTCCCAACTTCCTCCCAGAAGGCCCTTCCTCTTATAGGTTCTACCACTTTCCAATAGTGCCACAGGCTGGTGACAGGCAGGCCCACGGGAGAACACACCAGATACAACCTCTGGTAAGTAAGGACTCTGATCTCTTCTATCTCTTTTTGCTCTCCCACAAGTAGCTTCCATTTCCAGAGTGACCTCATGATCCAAATAGCTCCTGGGACTCCAGACATTGCATCAACATTCCACCTAGCAGGAAGAGAGAAGAGAAGAAAGACACACTCCGTCTCCACAAGTTGCATATACCACCTCCACTTATGTCTCATTGGCCAAAACTTTGTCAGCCGAGTCTGGGAAATGCAGATTTTACTCTGGAGTGCCTTATTCTCTGCTAATAATCAGACATTCTCCTCCTGTGGAAGGCAGAGGCAAGAACTGCAATTAGGTACAGCTGGCATCTTCTGCCGCTGAGATGTCTTCTGCCATTCTGTCATGAGACAACCTGAGTCTCATCAAATGTGCAGCATCTGCTGTGACAGTGTAGGGAAGGTCACCATGACAATGACTTACAGCTAGCCAGATGCTTGGGTCTGGCGCTGATGGATGCTGCCTGAGAGGTGGACGGGCACCTTAGCTGCCCCTTAATGGCACATTTCCATTTTCTGGCGCAGTCCCTGCTGTTGTCACAGGGGTGACCTATTCTCTCCTCTGTCTAGTGATGCTGGGCCACAAACTGCAAGGTAGCATCTGTCCATGGCAGCAATTTCTTAGGTCCTGCAGACCCTGCTGACTGCAACATTCAAACCATCAGAAAGCCAGCAAGAGGTGGTGATGGATCCTCATTACCTACCCAGGGACAGACACAAAGAAAGCCACTTTCAAAATACATGCTGAAATTATTTTAGTCACCCCATGAGCTCCTTACCATGGACTGGCAGGCCACTAGATCCGAGAGTAGAAAAGCAGTGATTGGCAATTTTAGAGCAAAGGGGAAGGAATGGTTCTTTTTCATAGAATGATAAGAGGCAGACAGTAATGACAACCTTTCAGCTAGGAACTGTGCATCCCACCGTGGGTGCCAGCCTCTGGTATGGACACTGGTGAGCCTGGGTCCCAGGAGTTGGTGCCCTTGGATGGACTCTTTCGTTTTACATTAGGACTGACTTTCATTCATTAGTTGGAATGGTTTTAGTCTGTTTTGTTTGATTTTATTATGTGTGATGGTGTGAACAGCTATTTTGAAGAAAACAAGACATTATGGCAGCCATTGCTGATTTAATGTCATCTTGCTTTGAAGTCCTACCATGCTTTTGTTCTTCTGTTTCCATTGGTTCTATCATGTGTGTCTTATTGGATATTAATATGTGTGATAGTATAAACAAATTTTATATGAAAAATGAGATAATATAATAGCCATTGTTCGTTTTCTGTTATTTGGCTCTGAATGCCCTGTAATACTTTCACTCTCTTGAATGGTTTTGTACTATATTATTATGTTTGATACTATTGTATGTGAAGGTATGCTCAACTATTTCAAAGAAAGAGACATTATGGTAGCTACTGTTAATATCCGGTTGTCTTGTTGGAAGTGCTGTGTTGCTTACATTGTTCCGTTCTGATCTGCTTTGTTCTGTCCTTTTTTGTCTTAATCTCTTTAAAATAAAAAATAACAATAAATAAATAAATTAGGACTGACCTCCATGACAGATAGGATGCAGTGGAAGCAGTCATGTGTGACTTGTGAGGCCACATCATGCTACTTCTGCCTCCATCTCTCTGGCTGACCTCTTTGGGGGAGACCAGGTCCATGCTTGAGATACCAGCAACACTGCAGAGACACTGCAGAGACAGTACCAGAGGCCTCACACCCAGAAACAACACAGCCACTGGCTGAGCAGCCTCCTAGCCTTCAATGACATCCGTGAACCTTCCAAACATCTGTGCAAACATCTGTGAACCTTCTGAGATCCTTAGCCAGAAGCACCCTACTAAGCCACTCCTAAATCCCTGACCCTTGGTATCTGTAAGATAACTCAATTTTATTGTTCTTTAAGCCACTACATTTTGGGAGTAATTTGTTATGCAGCAGTAGATAACTAATGCAGCCTCTTTAATTCATCACAACACTGCTGTGGACGAGGCATTACTATCTTCATTTTACTGATAAAGAAACTGACACTTACCTAGGTTAATTTCTCCAGGGTCAGGATAGTTAGTTGAAGCAAAGCTGAGAGTCTAATGTGGCTTTGTAAATTTTTTGGCAGGGCAGTAGTGGTGGTGGTGATGGTGGGGAGTTGAGGTAGAGTCTCATTTTGTACTTCAGACTAGCACTGAGCTAACTTGGTAGCCCAGGCTGGCCTCAAACTCACAGCAATCCTCCTGCCTCAGCCTCCTGTGTGCTGGAATTATAGATGTGCACCACCATGCCCAGCTCAGTGTGGCTCTGCTTGCACACAGTCTGTCCCGTGAACAATTGCTTAATATGCTGCCTACTATTTGGACCCATTTAGGATTTCTAGAATACCTGGGAGCAGTGAAAAAACAACCCTAAATGAACTGATTATAGTAAAGGTTACATGCTAGATTCAACATCATACAGCACCTATGGGAAGCTGTTGATCCGTGCCCTAAAATCCACAGCCAGTTTGAAACTCAAGTGCATGGTTGTGCTGTGAGGATCAAAGGCAGCTTACACAGGACTGCCTGGCAGCAGAGGTACTAGCACAGGTGCTTGGAGTGCAGACCACTTCTCAAAACAGCTGCAAGATTGCCTTTCCTGGGGCCACAAAACTAGATGCAGTGTGTGTGTCCTGTGTTTTAAAGTCATCTGAGGGGTTGGGATGTGGCTCAGGGGTGAAATGCTTGCTACCAAGCACAAGACCTTAGGTTCAAATTACAGAGACGCAGTCCCTGGCTTGTGGTTGGCAGGAGGGACTCAGTGGAAAGAATGTGGGTGGAATGGGTGTTTGCCCCCTCCTGCTTTCCTGTGATGGGTCAGTTTGCCTTTAATAGCTCAGCTGCCTGCCAGCATGTTAACAACGCCTACTCATCATCAAGAAAACAGGAGTAGGCTCTGAATGCGCATCTGGTAAGGGGCTTCTGAGGTCATCACCAGGGCTAACATTCTGGCCAGAGCCAGCACAAAAGACCCAGCAGCCGTCAGGAATCAAGTGGAAGCTCCTGTCTTGTCCACTGGGCTAAAAACCTCAGGGATGTAGAACCGAGACAGATGCCTGTCCTTGTCCCCCAGGCCTCACCACTGTGCTGCTGGTGCTTATCGGTCCTGGTCACCATCCAGGCACCAGATAAGTGAGCAAGGAAGAAGGAAACAAAGCTCCTTCATGTCTCCCCAGCTCCCTTAAACTTCCACTCTGTGACAGGTACCAGGACACCTCTGAGCTTAAGATCTTGGCATCAGTTTTCACTTCAGCCCTTCAAACGGAATAGTTATCCAGACTTGTCAATTATACCCTTAAAATACTCTAGCATGGTTTCCTCTAATCATTTATTCATTCTTTATAAGGTTCTGGGATCAAACCCAGGTCCTCCCATGCCAGGCAAGTACTCTACCATGGAGCTAAATCTGGCCCTCTCCATATCTACCCTGGCTTTATATCATCACCCAGATGGGCATCTGCACCCAAAACTCCACCCCTTTAGTAGCTCTGAACTACCTATTGCAGGGATTCCATTTTGTATTCGTCTGGCTCTCAAGACCCTGAGTTATATTCTTAATTTCCTACAAGCCCCATTTGCCAGTCCTGCACATACACACATGCACACACTTGTGTATTTGTGCCCCATGCACCATCACGCGCCTCCCACTCTGGCTGCCTCCTTTGTGGGCCTAGCTGTGCTTTATGATTCATTCTTGGCCTATTCTAACACACCTCGCCCACCTCCGCAGGTACCTGTCCTCAGAGCTCTCTCCTTTCACCATTTCCACAGACTACTCTCTTCAGCACTGGACAGATTACACCTCTGCATCAGGCCTGCTTTCTGGATCTGGCAGGCTTCTAGAATCCCCCTGGACTGAAGTCCTCGGGAAAACAAATACAGAACTGACTGATGGTACATCATAGCCCGTCAGGGCCCGGCTCACACACACTGCTGCGGAGAGCCGCTGTCCCTCAGACTGCACTGTGCCCAGATGCGTGGTTTGCTGCTGTACGGGAGGAAAAGTGTGCCCGAATCAGCTAAGACCACAAAGGGTAACCGCAGGAACACCCAGCAAGACAGAGTGCAAGGGAGTGACAGAAGGTCCCAGGGCAGGAAGTGGTGGTGATCAGTGGTGCAGAGTGTGATTAGAGACGAGAACAGGATGCGTGTTTGGGGAAATGAATTCAGATGATGTGGCTTCCCCGGTAGAAGCATGGTTATTGACCAACCACCAATCACAGAGCTCTCATGGCTGCAGAGGACGCTAGAGGTTCAATTCTGGAAGCTCTAGAATAGATGACTGGCCCATTTTATTGCCCACAATAAAGGTCCTGGTGGCTCCTGCTTTAAAGATTATTCTACCATTACCACTCCTTTTACTCCTGATCTCTGCTCTCCTCTCTTTTCCTCTCCTCTCCCTCCTTCCCCTCCCCCTACTCAAGATGGGGTCTTGCTATGTGGCCCTGGCTGGTCTTATACTCCTGGACTCAAGTGATCCTCTCGCCATAGCCTCCCAAGTAGCCCGGACTTTGGACATTTACCACTGGGCCTGGCCTTGACCTGTTTTGCCTCCTGGCTTCTGCATTCTCTTGGTGTCACTCAGCTTCTGTCTTACAGGTGGGCCCGTCAACATCTATCTATGCAGTGCCCCTGCCGGACAGAGTGCTTGTGGCTATGGCTGGTCTGTAGATGTATGGAAGGCTGCTTTGGGTCAAGTGTCGAATGCCCGTGTCAACCTAGCTCCGGCAAGAGGCCCAGTCACCTGGTACAAAACATGGGAAGCTTACGTAAAGAACAACTTGTGGCTACCCTCGAAGGGGCTGAGAATGGCAGATACTGGAGTATCGTGTCTCATAATATAAATTATTACTGTACAATAATATAGTAAGTTAAATTATATTCAAAATTCCCTCTTTAAGTAGGCAGGGAAATAATCAACTAAAATAGGTATAGACACCAAGTATAACTCTCACAATCATCCTTTTCCTGTAAAACTTAGGGTTGTATTTAGATGTAACAGAACACCAATTAAGAGCAGCTTAAATAAATATTTTTCTTATACAAGAACCACTGAGATGCGTGATTATTGGTATTGAGTTACTTCAACTCTGTTCAACTTTGGGGAATTTTTATTTGTATTTAAAGTTGAAACGTTTAACAGTCAACTATGAGGTAGGAGGCAGTAGCCCACCCCACCTACAAGGGACACATTCCAAGCCCAATGGGGACCTGAAACCACAGGTAGTATACTCCCTGTGTACACTGTTTGATTCTACATGCAAGTATCTATAACGTATAATTTATAAATTAGGGTGGTGTGGGGCATGGTGAACAGTAAATAGGCACAGAATAGCTGGCTGTGGTGGTGCATACCTGTAATGCCAGCACACTGGGAGGCTGGGCAGTAGGGGCACAGGTTTGATCCCATCCAGTTGCCTTGGTGACTTGGCAGGCTCAGTCTCAAATAAATTAGGCGAGGACCCTGGGTTCCATCCTCAGTCCTGACTAAAGACTCAGGACAGTAAAGCTGCAGGACAGGGTAGGCATGCGGGCGTCAGACCCAGAAAGGCCGCCCCGATCCTTACAGTGGGGTCCCAGAGCTGCGGGGGATGGGGATAGTGGTGGTGGTGGTGATGTGGATGAAGCAAGGGCTCTCGGGAAGGTTCCCTGGGGCTCCTCACTGGGCCTTGTGGTGCAACGCACCACTGACCTGGTGTCACCCAGCCCCGCTTGGCTGTCTGCCCTCCCCTCTTCTCCCTTTCTCTTACTGCCTCCTCCCTTCTCCTCCTCTCCTATTTCTCCCTTTCCCTTCCATTCTCTTCTGTGCCTGTCCTTCCCTTTGGTCCTCTCCATTCTCCTCTCCCCTCTCCTCCTCAGCTCTTCAGTCCCATATTCTCGCATCCTTTCCCTCCGATTCTGCTCTCTCTCCTCTCCTTTCCTCCCCTCTCTCCCTATTTTTCTTCTCCTCCCTTTTCACCTCCCTTCCCTGGGAATCTGCTGCCTCTTAGCCTCTGCCACCTCCAACCCATGTGAACCCTCAAATCCCCAAATGTTGCTTTCTGGTGAAATGCCACTGTTTTTACTTGGGAGATACGTCTGCACTCTCCCACGGTTGGGTCAGGAAGCGTCTAAGTCCTTACAGCTTGTGGCTCCAGGGTCTCTCCTCTAGCTGCCCTGCCAACCTCCCTCCAAATCACCATGACCTCCCTCAGGACTCTTGGTCCTTCGGTGCCAAGCTGGATTTCTGTCTCCTGCTGAACATCTGACTTCCCCGGCCTGGCTCTGGCCACAATGAGTCCTTGCCCAGAACCAACGTGGCCAGGCCAAGGGACCAAAGTCTCTTCCCAGCAGCTGTGTCTCCTGCAACCTCAAGAGCACCTTTAGGCTGGCGACCCTCCAAACCCAAAGCTAAGCCCAGGAGCGTGAGAGAGGCAGAGTGGTGGGGGCTTCTGACCAGGCATTTCCAGCCAGGCCTGCTTGGCTGTAGATCTCTCTCACAGATCACTGTAAATAGTTTTTGGTGCACAGGGGCGAGCGAGCTGTGCTGGGGATCAAACCCAGGATTTTTGCACTAGGCTATATCCCCAGCCCTTAAAAATGTTTTATTTTGCTAAGTTGAGGAGGGGGGCTCTTAGAGGGGACTTCGGGCGTCCTGCTTCAGTTCCAGCACTGGTTCAGTCAAGGCAGAGGAGTGGGTCCTGACATGATGGCCTCTGTGCCTCTCCTGCCGGCGGGTCAGCTGCCGAAGTTGCTTCCGAATGGCCCACAGCACTAGGTACACCTCTCGGAGCAGCTCAGCCTCCGGCGTGTCCAGCGGGGACGAGGTCCTCACTTGGGAGGAAATGGCCCCGGAGCTGACAGATGACTGTAAGAGAAAGACAGGATCTGCGCGTGCGCACAGCAGGTGGCGCTACCTGCGGGGGAGGGGGGGGTGTCCGCTATTTCCTCCTCTTCCATCAGGCCATCTCAGGCCCCATCTCCGCCAGGAAACCTTTTCTCCTCTATAAGGAGTTCATCTTCTTTACCCTTGTGTCTGTACCCGTGTGTGTGTGTGTGTGTGTGTGTGTGTGTGTGTGTGTGTGTGTGTGATACCGGGGATTGAATCTCCAGCTCTTTCTATTTATTTCATATTTTGAGATAGGTTCTTCTTGGGTTGCCCCGGCTGTATTTAGGCTTGCAGTCCTCCTTGAGTGCAGGAATTACAGGTGTGCACCACCATACCTGGCTATACCCAGATTTGTCATTCACACCCAGATTTGTCCCAAGAACTCTTTTCTGCAGTAGAAAGCAACTCCTGGAAGACGAGGACCAGTTTGGACCCACCTCTGAGTCCAGCCCAGGGTTCCATGGAGAGTGTATTAAATGCAGGACAACAGGATGACAGTCTCCAGCCCGAAGCTCTCCTGACCCTAGACCCTCATATCCCAGGCACCCCCACACACCGTCCTACCAATACCTCAGTTCTATTCTTGCTCTGCCCAATGATGCCTCCATGAGCCAGAATGTTCTCTCTCAACTGGGACCACACGAGTCTCCAGGGGATCTTCTGGTCTCTTCCCTTGCCTCCTGCTGACTACCTGTCAGCCCACTCCCACCAGATGATTTGTGTGTGTGTGTGTGTGTGTGTGTGTGTGTGTGTAACAGAGAGAGAGAGAGAGAGAGAGAGAGAGAGAGAGAGAGAGAGAGAGAGAGAGAGAGGCTGGAAACTAGAATCACATCCTCCCTTTTTAAAATGTTTTTTTGAGACAGGTTTTTGCTAGGATACTAAGGCTGGGCTCAGGTTTGAGATCCACTTGCCTCTGCATCCCAGGGCACTTCGATTACAGGTATGTGCCACCACGCCTAGCTGCTGTACACTCGCAAAAAATTGCCATTTTTTAACTCTTGCTAACCCATATGAGATTTCTCAGTTAAATTTCAATCCTGTCACTCCCTGCCTCAAATATCTTCCATGGCTCCCATTGCTCTTAGGATCAAGTTAAAATTCCACAGCTTGATATCCATCCACCCCACCTGGCACTAGCTGGCCCCTGGTGCCAGGTTTCCTCCTCTCCAGCTCTCACAAGTGGGGCCAGCTCTTCACACCTCTGTTGTTTCTCTTCATGGAATACTCTCCCCCATTCCTTTCTCTCCAGTTCCCCTTTACAATATCCCTAAGAGCCAATCGACTTCTTGGGGTCTGAGCTTCATCCTTCTTCCAGTAGGAAGGCCTTCTGTGACTCCCCAAGTCTGTTTGAGATGCCCTTCCCTGGTGGCCCACAGCCCCCTCTACCTCCTGCATCATACCTCTCAGGACACAGAAGCAACAATGCCTACTGTCTGTAGTCCCCAAGTCTGGGCAAACCTGGTTCTTCGGTATCCTCAGCATCTGGTGACAGAAGAGCACAGGAGCGGGGAGTAGAAGAAAGAGAGAGCTGCAGGGGTTGAGGATGGAAGGAGACTCACCTTCCACCGGCACATCTGCCAGCTGGACTGCAGGGCAGAGAACATGATCATGGATGCTGACCGGACAGCCATCCGCGGCACCTGCAGCAAGGAGTGGCCCTCATGGCCCAACCCTATCTGGGTCCTGTCCGTGGGACTGTCCAGCACACAAGTCTCAGTCACATCGGGGGACTCCTCCTTCCTGGGGAGCTTGGCTTCTGCAGGGGGCTTGGTCAACTTGTAGGCTTCCAACTCTGGGGGAGTCTTCTCTGCTCCCTTCAACACACGTTTCCTAAAGCCAACATTTTTCCAGATGTACCTCTTCATTCGGCATCTCCAGAAGACAATCTAGGAATCAAGATACGGAGGACAGAGAGAAGGATGGGACGGAGGTGGCAGTCAAGGGGAAGAGCCCAAAGGAGGAAGCAGTAATTTCCCCGGCCTTTTTCTGTATCTCTCTCCTCTCTCTTCCTTCTATTTTTTCCTCCCTCCTTTTCCTCTACCTCCTCTCCCTCCTTCTTGTTTGCGGTAGTGAGAATTAAACTCAAGACCTTTGCACTGACTGCATCTCCAGCCTCCTTTTTATTTTATTTTTTTAAGACAGTATCTCCACTGAGTCACTGGGGTTGCCCAGGTTGGGATCCAGCTTGCAATTATCTTGCTTTGGCCTCTCAGGGTGCTGGGATTATGGGCCCTGTTTTCAGTCTCCTCACCTCTCTTACTCCTCCTCTCCTCCTGCCCTGTCTTGTTCAGCCACAAGAGTGCAGGAGGAGAGGAACATGGTAACCATTGACCAAGACACTCATCTCAGCATCATGAGGCCCAGACAGTGTGTGAAACTCACCCAACAGGTCATCTTGTGCCAAATCTGCCTAACTAATTCGAAGAAATGAATGGCCACACCCATAACTACAGATGTGATGGAGCAGCAGCAGAGCCAGCCTTTGGGTGGTCAGAGAGACAGGCTGCTGGCCAGTGGCAGCCACCAGAAAGATCTTGTGGGAGCTTAGGGGCTTCAAGCACACCAGTGAAAGAATATAAAACCCAGGGGGATGCTCCCTCTAGCACCTCCTCCAAGGCCCTTCCTCCCCTCCCTGGGACAGGAGAAGGGCCCCAATGGATGAGAACCCTGAGTGAGGCAGAGTTCCAGCCCATTGTGAGGCCCCAAAGTCAAACTAGTGGAACATTGTCATGGCCTGGGCTCTTTCTGCTTTGTATCAGGAGAGGAAACAGTCATGGGTGGAGAACTTAATATTCACTGGACATTTTCCATGCACTGTGCCGTGTAGTCCTCTGAGACTCGGAAAAGCTGGAAAGCTTGCCATGGGTCATAAATCTAGGGGCTTGGAAGGCCAGGGGTTCCACCCAGGTGAGCCTCTAACTACAGCTGACGCTGGAAGCAGGGTGTGGCAAAGCTGGCTGCACAAGTGGCCGGGACCTGTCAATTTCAAGATCCCAAGGCAGAGCCCGGTGACTGAAGGATCCCTGTGTAGAACTGGTGAGCTCCCACGAGACATGGGCGGCACAAGGAAGACCCGCTCCAGGAGGCACTCCTGGCTCTTCACGCCGTCTGTCCTGGGTCTCCCAGACCCGTGGTGCACCTCCATTTTGCTCTTTGTTTCCTCTTTTCTCTCTTTGGCCCAAGTTTGCACTGCAGAGCTCATTCTTCCCTTACCCTTCACCCTTCATTTTCAAATCAACTTTCCACACCATTTTTGGCTTGTTTCATCCAGTTCTTTGTTTGGTGAGCCATTTTTAGAGGAGCTACCTGAAAACACCGTGACAGCTCTCACCTGATCCCCTCTGCTGCTCCTCACAGGGTCCCTCTCAAGGTTGTGGCATCTGCTCCCCACTTGCCCACTAGATGGGGTCCTTCTTCCTGGCTGTGGTCTACCTTCGAGGGCTAACCCAGGTTGCCAGAGAGGCACCTGCTTCCCCACAGCACCCATCCTCACCCGCCATGAGTGGGCCAGGGGATTCTTGAATTGGAGGCCAAAGTTCAAAGTCAGTGTAAACTACATCTCGAGCCTCGACTCGACTTTTTTTAATTATAAAAATAAACTGAGTATGGGGGTGCATACCTAAAGCCCAGCACTTGGGAGGCTGAGGCATGAGGATCCCTGTGAGTTCAAGGCCAGTTTAGGCTATAGAAATGAGGTCAAGGTAAGCCTGAACTGCATAGTGAGATCTTGTCTCAAAAAAAAAAAAAAAAAAAAAAAAAAAAGCCCTAAAAGATCTTGGCACTGTGTACCCTGTCCATCTGGATTCCGAGTACATGGTGTTCCCTTGTCGTGACTCTTATTGACCACATTATCTTGAGCTCTCCATAGACCCTACTTCAAAGTCACTGCCCACCAACCCCTGAGCACGCTTTCTTTTTTCACAGTATTTAACACTACCGGAAATGACTGTTTGTTCACTACATTAGAGTAATATAAAAGTTGTCAGAATACAAATGGAATCACCCTAGCAACAACAATGTGAATAAATCCAGGAGTTTATGAAAAAAAGGTTTTTACATGTGCTTGTCTGGTAGTGACTGTCACAAAAGACCCTGGCAGAAGCACAAGTTTTCATAGGAGCCACTGAAACCTGCTACATAAAGCACTTCTATCAGAACATCTGCCCAGCAACTGTCCATGCAACCTCAGACTGATGCCTCGTTACCATTCACTGTGGCCCAGGATTATTGTTTCAAAATACCTCATGTCAAGCTTCTCTCTTTTTTTTTTTTTTGGTGCCGGGGGTCAAACTCACAACCTCCAGTTTGCCAAGCAGGCACTTATACCAGTGAGCTAAACCCCCAGCCCAAGCTTCTCGTTCTTTAAAAACTTCTCCTTGCCTCAACCTCTTTGAATAACCACAGTTTATGCAACACAATTGCCGGGCTCTGCTACTCCCCAGTAGATATCAGTATTCTCTGACCAAAAAAGTGATAGCATCTATTTCTGTTTTTTACGTGATCACTGCTGAAAATAATGTTGCTGTATGGAGGAGGATGTTGAAAACAATCGTTTGTTTCAGTAGCAAACATGCTCAATATGTCCCAGCGTAGAGAAGGCTTTAGACTCTCCTCACTCTCTGCTATCCAGAGGGAAGTTACCTGAGGCCCCTCAGCTGGTCAGCAGCAAAGGAACTAGATAAAGTCTCCCAGCCACTGCTGGATTATGTTGCCCATTACTCGAGTCCCAGAAAACTCAAATACTATTGCAAGGTTAGTGCTTCTCAAACTGTAATGAAGAACTACATTTTAAAAATGTTGGCTCTGTTGCAGACTAGTGCTAAAATGTACCTCACACTCCTGTGACTGAAGTTTGCTTCATCCAAATGGTCTCTACCTTTTTTTTTTTTTTTTTGTCTTTTTCTTTTTTATCAGTACCGAGGATTGAATTCACAACGACACACTTGCAAGGCAGGCACTTATGCCGCTGAGCTAAATCCCCAGCCCAGTCTCTACCCTTTTAACAAGGAGCACCCACTGATCATATTTTTGGATGCAGCAGTAATGTCAGGTTGCTCTAGAGGATTCTAAACTTTTACTTTCAACTTCTGAGCCTTTTCTGTCCCAGATTAGTGACAGTTGCCTGTCCAGCTTTGAGTGACTCATTATATCATAACCAGTTCCTAGCAATGACTTTTGGCCAAAAAAAGAAAAAAAATTGTGAATATTCATTATATAAGCAAAATTTGGCCTTTGATAAATTCCTGAACATACTCTGTAAGATTAAGAGCGAAGGTTCAGCTGGGCGTGGTGGCTCACGCCTGTAATCCCAGCACTCAGGAGGCTGAGGTAGAAGGATCGTTGTGAGATCGAGACCAGCCTGGGCTACAAAGTGAGCCCAAGGCCAGCCTGAACTGCATAGGGAGACCCCAGTCTCAAAAAGACAAAAAAAAAAAGAGTGCAGGTTCGAATCAGCAATGGTGTATTTGCTTTCTGGTGCCCTAACAAAATAACCAAGAATAACAATGTAAAAGAGGAAAAGTTTACTTTGGCTAAAGTTTCAGAGGTTTTTGTTTACGGTGGACTGGCTTCATTGCTTTTAAGTGTGTGGTGAGACAGAACATCACAGTGGAAAGGTGTGGCAGAAGAAAGGTGCTTGCTTTGGGGCAGTTGGGAAATGGGGGGGGGGACAGAGACAGAGAACAGAGAGAGAGACAGAGAACAGAGAGAGAGAGAGAGACAGAGACAGACAGAGAGAGAGAGAGAGAGAGAGAGAGAGAGAAAGAGAGAGAGACAGGGCCAGAGGACATGTGCTGGTGAATGTACCACCCATATTTAGGGTGGATCTCTCTGTTTTCTGAGGCCTCACATCTCTGGAAACGCCCCCACAGACACACTCGGAAGTGTGCTCTACTAATTTCCTAGGTGCTTCTCATCCCAGTTGAGTTGACATGGTTAGGCATTCATTAGTACTGTGTGGCCTTGAGCAAATGCCTTGTAGTACTGGGGATTGAACTCAGGCCTGAATTACATCCTCAGCCCCTTTCTATTTTTCATTTTGTAGTAAGGTCTTGCTAGCCAAGTATGGTGGTCCACACCTATAATCCCAATACTCAGGAGGCTGAGGCAAGAGGATCACAAAGTTGAGGCCAGTCTGGGCTACTATGTGAGTTTAAGGTCAGTGTGAACTACTTAGTGACATCTCATCTCAAAAAAAAGTCTTAAATTACCTAGGTTGGCCTCAAACTCGACTTTGATTTTGCCTCTTGATTTTTTTTTTTTTTTTTTTTTTTTTGAGACAGGGTCTCACCGTGTAGTTTGAGCAACTCTTAAACTCACTGAGTAGCTCAGGCTGCCTCTAAATCATGGTGCTCCTCATGCCTCAGCCTCCCAAGTGCTGAGATTATAGACAAGCACTCTGTGCCTGGCAATTTAAAGTCTTAAATATCTAGGGTTACATGTATGTGACACTATGTCTGGCCGAGCACCACATCCCTGTTTTTGAGATACACTGACCATGAACTCCTGGACTCAAGTGATCTTGCCTTAGCTGCCCACGTAGCTACAATTATGCAAGCTACAAGGTGCGTGCCAGCCTACCTGATTCCTAAACCTCTTTGTGGATTTCTTTACCCATAGTACCAAAGAATAGCAGCTCCTAGCTCAGAGAGGACTGTAGGGAGGTCTGTGTATATGTCCACTGGGGACATAGTAAGCCCTTGTATTAGTTATAATTACTGTTTCCCCTTTTGGTTGTGGAAGATGGGTTTAGGGGCAGTGGGGATGTGGATTTTCACAGTGTAGTGATCACAACACAACACAGGGCACAAATAGCAGCAGCCCAGGAGTCAGAGTTCTGGCCCTGATTTCTGGTATCCCCAGTTGGGTCACCATGTTACTGATACATTCAGTACCCAGCAATGGGGTCCTGTCTTGAGCCAGGCTCAAGGGGTGGTGCAAAGGAACAATTCCTGCTCCTGCCCCCACAACCTTGCCTGTGGAAGGCAGCATGCAGGGATCCTGACAGCATACAGCATGTGTCCACCCAGGGCCACAGCGGCACACAGGGGGACTCCTGTGGGAGGGTCTGCACCTCTCTGTCTGGGGGTTATGAGCTGGAGTTGAAGGAGAGGTTTCCTCCTCTCCTCTGGCCTTCCCAGCCATGTTACCCACATGTTGGGTGAGTTGTCCCTTGGTCTGTGGGGGAGCAGCTGCTCTGCGTTGCTGGGCCTGACCTTGTCTCCTCAGGAGAGTTCCAAGCAAAGGCAGGAACCCAGCCTCCTGTGCTGCTGCCTGCGGCTGGCCCTGTGGGGAGGCTGCACAGCTGCGATGCCCACCAGTGGGTAGGGCTTGGCCACCCTGATTTTTGCTCTCCCACAAGGTTAATCTTCCAATTTCATTTATTTATTATCAAAGGTACATTTGGGGCACTGTCTGCTGAATTTTCTGACTTATTTCTCAAGTTTAAAACTTGATCAGGACAGAGGCCACTTATTTTTGGCTTCTTCAGTGACCCAAAAGACATTATGTAGCATCACGCAGGCTCCTTGCTGCAGGTCCCACGATGATGTTAACATGTTGTGGCATCTCCTCCCATGACATGCATAGTAGCTTTTCACGGTTACTGGCTGAATGACTGCAACACTTCCTCTGCAGGGGTAGGGGTG